CAAACACAGGGGGAGGGGATTAGGGCTGAGAGCGGGCGATTGGCAGGGGGCTCTTCCTTGGCGGTCCGTGGGAAACTACGGTATGAAGGAGACAGGGCACCATGGCAAAAGCGAGCTGGGTGTCAACCGGTTTTAGATGAGAGGGCTCCAGCGAGAAATGTCTCGTTACGGTGGGATACCGAGTGGGAAGGCGTGGGCCGACAAAAAAAAGAAGGGTGTGTTGTAGGGTGGGTTTTTGTATTGGGACCACATGTTTGACGATAACATGACGGATAGTCCGGACATATACATTTCTCCCAGACACATGGGCTGAATTTAGGGGAGCCCGGACTATCCAAAAGGTTGGATTTTGAGGAGCCCATTAGATGCATGTTTGATGTCCAAACACGCTCGGACATATAAGGAAGAAATGAGTTGGATTTTGAGGAACTCATTACATGCATGTTTGATGTCTGAACACCCTCGGACATATAAGAAAGAGATGACCTTCGACTTTGGTCACGACCTTTAATTATTTGTTTGATTTATTTATATGTATCGTAGCCCGTAGCAACGCTCAGGCGTTCTACTAGTAAGTAGTGCCTCCTTTTGAAATATTCATTTTTCTGACAAGCATTTCAGGATAGAGGGAGTAGTAGAGCTGAGATATAATGGCACCGATAAGAGAATGGGCGAAACGGACGTGCACCTCGGCTCGGGGCACCAGAGGAGACCACGTACCGAACCGCAAAGCCAAAGGATACCAGTCAGTCAGTGACGCCGCTGATCCAGCCGCTCGCCCCACAGAAAATCATGCCCACGGTAACACACACCCATCGCTATCCCACCAAACACCAACCATGGAGGCAGCGGAAGGAGGCGCGAGAAAATGGCCATCTACACACCGGATCAGAGGAAGATACAATCTGAATCTATGCACGCGTGTTAGAGCAACTTCAACGATGCGATTCATTTTGTCCGTTTGGGTCATATGGACACAAAACTCAGTCCAACGGGGCAATTTAAACGGACACAGCGTCCGCCTGCTGTCTGTTTGGTGTTCGCTCGAATCCATTTTGGACTCAAATCTGGAAAAATTTGAGTCAAAAGTCGACACAAAACGGACGTTCTTTGTGCCCTCTTCGCCCCCCTCTATCCGACTGCATGTGCCGGCTGGCCCACTTGCCATCCATCCATCTGCCCATCCCGTCTCTCTCCTCCTTTTCTCTCCCTGGCCCACCACGACCACCCACCCACCCAGCCAGAACACGAGGCAGCCATAGGCCGCCGAGGAAGGGCCAGCACACGGCGCGGCTCCGGCGGCGCCGCTGTGCTCCCGCCTTCATTGTCCTCTTTGCCCGGCCGCGCCCGGCGACGGCACAATCATTCGCGCCGCGCTTAACGCCACCACGCCCCGCACCCGCCCGCCCGCCTCACGCTGCAGCTCGTCGTGCCTCGTGCGCGCCGCCGCCCCCTCCACGCCGCAGCTTGCCACTGCTCTGCCCCTGCCCGACGCCCCGCTGTTTGGCCACGCTCACCGCGAGCTCGTGTCCTCCGTGTCTGACCGGGCCCAGAGACGGCACAACCGTCCACGCCGCGCTCGACGCGGCCACGCTTCTCATTGCCGGCGCACGCGGCTCCGCGGCGGCACGGGAGCAGGCAAGGCCAGGTTGGGCGGGCGGCGGGGACAAGGCAGACGCGACAAGACGAGCGCCGGCCAAGCGCAGCGGAGGCGAGGACGGGGCCGCCGCCGCTTCCGCACCCGCGCGCCGCCCCCGGGGCGGTCGGCCTCTATGACCGCCGTCGGGGGCCGCGCCGCCCGTACCTAGGGTTCGTCCGTCGGTTGTGTTGGTCGGCTGCCCTAGACAGTCTTTTTCTCGATCCTTTGATCCGGGTTTTTTCTCTTTCTCGCCGGTCGCTTTGATCAGCGTCTACTTTTTTGGTTTTCCGATCTAAGATCGGTTTGCGTCGCCCATCGCCGCCGTCGACACCTGGCGCCTCTACTCCGACATCTGCGCGACCGGCCGGCTACTTCACCGACCCGGCGGCCTCGCGTGACAGGCAGCCCTCAAGGCCGTCGTCCGCGCGCCGGCCCGCCCGTCGCCCTGCTCCAACTGGGACTCCTGCATCATCCAACCCGGTGGCCTCGCGCCATGCGGCGGCCAATCATAGCCGCCCTGTCGCCCGTCGTCGCCGGCTTCATCTCGGACTCCGCCACCACCCCGTCTCCACCGAGCGGCGTCCCCGACCTCGCGCGCGATCGGCTTGATCACCCGCTCGCCGTCGCGATCCGCCTCATCTACGCCGCGCGACCGACCTGGCCCGTCGGTTACGCGCGCCTCCGCAGGTCCCGTGAAGATCGTCTCCGAGTTCAGCGCGCCCCTCCGCCGATCGAGCAACGGGCTGCCGCTGCGTCGCCCCGTCGGGCCGCAGCGCCGCCGCCCCGTGGTTCTTCTCCCGGCTGCACCGACCCGCGTCACCGCTGCGTCGCCCCTTCGGGCCATAGTGTCGCGGCCCGCGGTCTACCGCCGCACCGAGACCGTCCGCTCCAGGCTGTCCCTGTGGCTGCACCGACCCTCGCGCCGCCGTTGCGTCGCCCCGTCGGGTCGTAGCGAGCGTGGCACGCGGTCCACGCCGCCGTCTCGAGGCCGTCCACGCGGTTGCACAACCCCGCGCTCTGCCGCTGCGCCGCCCCTTCGGGTTGTAGCACCGCGGCCCGCGGTCCCTGCGACCGTCTCGAGGTCTTCCGTCGTCGCCCCGACCTGCCCACCACCGCTGCATCGCCCCTTCGGGCCGTAGGCTGCGGCCCGCGGTCCACCGTCGTCCCTGCGTGTCGACTTCCTGTGGCATGCGCCGCACCACCTCCTTTGGCGCGGGAACGCCACCGTCCGCGCCGGTCTTCGTCACGCTGTCAGGGTTCTTCGCCTACTTCGAGCATCGCCGCCACGCTCATAACCTAACCGCCGCCGCCGCTCTTCTTCAGTCGCCGCCGCTGCTACCCCCGTAGCTGCCGCCGCCGCCCGTCCACCCCGTTCGTCTTCATCCCGCACCAGCCCGTCGCCAGCGTCGCCATCATCTACCCCGACCGCTTCATCTACTCCGACAACCGCGGGCGACATTGGCCCCGCGCCGATTGGCGCCGCAACCGTCGTCGAGTCGTTCTCTGCTGGCCTCTCTGACTTCTTCGACATGGCGTACAGCTTGTGCAGGTCCCAGTCTATGCATGCCCGGTGCTGGCAACACCGCCGCGTGCCTTCGTCCATGACGTGTCCCCGGGCCTGGCAAGCCTGGCGCGGCGCTTCGTCAACTTCGTCTTCATCAGTCTACGCATGCCCGGTGCTGGCAACACCAGTGCGTGCCTTCGTCCACGATGTGTCCCCGGGCTTGGCAAACCCGCCGTGACGCATCGTCAACAACATCATCTTCCTGATGCACCCCTACTTCGACACCACTGCGCCCATGCTAACTCGGCGCCCCCTTGCGCCCGCGGCTCCACGACGACTTCCTCGACACCGGCCACCCTGACTCGACATCGACCACGGCATTCTTCGCACGGCTACCTCGACCACGGCTCCACCACCCACGCTCTCGGCTATCTCGACAAACGGCACAAAGGGCTATCGCCTTGCTTGAGCAACCTCGTCGGTTGCCACTCCAGCCACGACTCCGCGATGCGTCGACCTTTACGACTGTGGGGGTTTGTCCGTCGGCTTGCCTTCGGATTCTTCTCCAGTCTCACCGTCTGCGTCGCTACCGTTGTGACTGCGGGGGGATGTTGAGTATAATGTTTATTAGGAAAGACGAGATAGACTAGGATTTGTTCTGGCTTGTCTTGTACTCCAAGTAGATCATTGTACTCCTATATATATATATATGTCCACGAGGCTCAAGCAATACAACGACTATTCCACCAAATCCCTCTCTCCCTTCTAATAATGTTTCCTAATACAATCACGTTACTCAACACAACTTGCCCCGGCCATGGTCAACGTGCACCCTAGTGCGAGCTACCCTACATGCTACGTGTTCGAGGAAATGTCGAGACGAACATGCAAAAAGCGTCCGCCTCCCGTTGGGCACACATGCCGACCTAAATGAAAAAATGGATGCGGACAGGGAAACGAGCAGACCCAAACGGACAAAAAACGAACAAAATCGATGTCCATTTGAGTCACCCCGTTGGAGTTACTCTTACGGTCTGAATATACGCTTTACACAGTGTGTATGCGACCTGAATGGCTGAATCAGAATCACAGTACCAACACGGGAAGTGGTCTGGCGATGCTTGACATCTCCGGCTGCTTTTTAGTCAACCAGGCCACCGAAGTTTCCAGGGCCCTCGAAACGAAATCAGCAGCAGCACCTGGTATCTCCCTCCTAGCAGTTGGTTGGTGAACCCTCTGCAAAAACAGAGTAATTTAGACACCAGCTGTTTTTCCTCTTTGCAAACGAACATCACAACTCTTTGCAAATGATTTCTTATGAAGGTTGGCACAAATGAACACCAACATGGTGATAATCCCATGGATGCCACCACTACTGATCCACTACGGCCTTCTTTGGATTGGAGGATTTTCATGGGGATATCAATCCTCAGGATTGTTTCCTATGAAACGCATTTGGATCAAAAGATTGGGCCATTAAAATTCCTCAGGATTGGGTCTCCAAGATGCTGATTTCAAAGGAATTTACACATGAGGTCTGACCTCTGAAAAAAAATCCACAGAATTGGCTATGTCATGGCAATCAAATCCTCCATTTTTCCTATTTCTTTGTTTTGCAAATCCTGTGATCCAAAAAAGCCATACACCAGTAGCAGTACCACAATTTAGAACTCAGAAGAAGCAGCCGAAGAAGTTCAGTCTGCCTGGCCCCTGCGTCTCGGACCCCACTCACCTACCACCAACCGCTCCCATCGGCTTTCTTCCGTTCCTCCACCGTATAAAGTCACCGAGGTCCGGGAGCACCACCAGCTCCACCACCGTCTCCACCAACCCCAGAGCAGAGTCGCGGCAGGCACAATGGACGTGGCGTCGCTGCTCCCGTTCGCCATCGCGCTGGTGGCGATCCCGATCTCGCTGGCGCTGCTGGACCGGCTGCGGCTGGGCCGGCTGCCGCCGGGCCCGCGCCCGTGGCCGGTGCTGGGCAACCTGCGGCAGATCAAGCCGGTGCGGTGCCGCTGCTTCCAGGAGTGGGCGGAGCGGTACGGGCCCATCATCTCCGTCTGGTTCGGCTCCTCGCTCACCGTCGTCGTCTCCACCTCCGAGCTGGCCAAGGAGGTGCTCAAGGAGCACGACCAGCAGCTCGCCGACCGGCCCCGGAACCGCTCCACCCAGCGCTTCAGCCGCAACGGCCAGGACCTCATCTGGGCCGACTACGGCCCGCACTACATCAAGGTGCGCAAGCTCTGCAACCTCGAGCTCTTCACCCAGAAGCGCCTCGAGGCGCTGCGCCCCATCCGCGAGGACGAGGTCACCGCCATGGTCGAGTCCGTCCACCGCGCCGCCGCCGGCCCCGGTAAGCTGCCAACCCAGATCGCACGCCCCTCGTCTTTTCTTTTTCCCCTTTTTCCTCCACCGCACATTTCGAAGACAGACAGTGTGCGTGTGTGCGTGCCATTTCGGAGAAAGCGGGGGTGGTTGCTGCAAAATACAGGGAGGGAGGTATCTTCTGTCTGAAGAAATGTTAGGCGAGTGGAGGTGGTGTCCTCGTGTTTGGTGGGTTTGGTCGACCGTCGTGTTGACGGTGCCGACGATGCGTAGCTGTTCCTTGGTCATTTCGTACTAATCTTGATTGTTCCTTGGCCAAATTTGCAACGGATCGCAGGAACAATGTCTAACTCTTACCGATTTGGTGGTACAGTAGACGAGCTGGTCTGTTGAAATGCCTCCATGGGGTGCATTCCTGTTGAGTGGCCAGCCACATGACAAGCACGTTGCTAGAGTACCGAATCGTTAATTGAGGTATAGATTAATTAAACGTAAAAGGCAGTGACACCAATAAATCACCATTGGTCAGCTCTAACGTGTTGGGGAGCCTTGAGTTTATTTTATTATTCCTCAGATTAGATCTCAAGACGATCATGGTGGTTGCAAGTTGTACAAGTAGGTTGCGCTTCACATGAGGCTTTGTACACATGGAGGTAGTAATAGTAATCTTGATTCTACATGCCATTTAAGCTTCAGGCTAAAACAGCTTGCTGCTTTCTGCATTACTGTAAGTTCAGATAATTCGATGCCACAAATAGACCATGACGCTACTCGATCCCTTTATTGGTAGAACAGTTTGTCTTATTGTGTACTAGTGCCAAGCGGAGGATCTGGTACTTGAAGAACTGTATGACATTTTGGCCTTCCAGTAAGTCAGTGTTATGATAAGCACACTACTTGTGGACTTGTGGTAATGAGGGATTTTTAATGACACTATGCTTTTTGAGGCCCAAGCATTGTCTTGTAGCATAATACCTGTTTTGTCAAGCCGGAAATCTTGACTTGACTATCATGGCCACACAAATCATATATTGAATTATAGAGTGCTATTTTTATCTTATCTTGAAATTTCACCCATTCAACGGTTGTATCTCTATATTGGCACAGAACTGATGTAGTTTTGGTGTACAATTTGGGACAAATTTATATGTTGTGAGTTTAGGAGCAGCTTACCTTGTACTGCTTGGCAACAATACCCATGTTTTATCTGCCCAAAAATCTTATGTTGATGTCCGACAGACAGAGCTTTTATTAATAGCAATGGATGTATAATGGTATACGTGCTAGAACGGATCAGATTGATCATAGCTTCAGGTGTGAGTTTGACTGCAATCAATATAGGCCTTAGTCCTTAGGCAGTCTTACTATACCATATGGGTTATTGGTATTTGATTGAGAGCAGTTAGTCCTGACCGTTATTTCATTGAGTTAACTGGTATCACAAGTGGAGTCCAAGTATGTGAAATAGTTTATCATGGTACTAGCGCGACGACATGGCAAGGAATCTTTGTTCAGTACGCAAAGTGGAATGCTTGGTGTGCATTAGACATAAAGAAGTGGCAACACATCCTTCCTATTACGTCTCATTGATGGTCTCTGGTCCGTGGTCAGTGGCACGCACACTAATTACAACTTGCTTTCACTTATTGTACTGTGCATTATGCTCCAAATGCATGGTGTCTCATCAGGAATATGCTAGACGAATTAAACGTCATTTGATGCTTCCCTCTGCCTCGACCCGGTTATTTCAACCTTTTTAGGAATATTTCAACTTATTTTTCACCCTTCTCTTTCTTCCAAATACATCTGGCATCGCGTTTAATTTCATATTCAATGTGTGTTTCAGTATTAATGTAGCATTCTTTGTCAGCGAACGCCAACATTTGTGCCTGGTGTGTGGGTTTGCTTGTGTTCAACTTGATATCCACATGGATCCTTTGCGCCAATGTTTAGGTTTTTGCGGTTGTTGAAAACACTAACCAACAGTATTGACTATTGAGTTTTAAATTAACTATTAATATGTTTTTTCAGGTAATGAAGGAAAGCCATTGGTAGTGAGGAATCACCTTGCTATGGTGTCCTTCAACAATATAACAAGGCTAGCTTTTGGGAAGCGGTTCATGAATGCAAATGGTGACATTGATGAAGAAGGGCAGGAATTCAAGATTATTGTGAACAACGGAATCAAAATTGGTGCATCTCTCTCTGTTGCTGAATACATTTGGTACTTGAGATGGCTGTGTCCACTTAATGAGGAGCTTTACAAGACCCACAATGAGAGGAGAGATCGTCTGACCAAGAAGATCATTGAAGAGCATGCACAGGCCCTCCAGGAGAGAGGTGCCAAACAGCACTTTGTGGACGCACTGTTTACTCTCAGAGAGAAGTATGACCTTAGTGATGACACAGTTTTCGGACTTCTATGGGTATGTAGGATGCCCTTTTATAACTAAGTAATTTATCTTCTTATATTCCATTATCCTTTTGATTTCAAATGAGATGCCCTGCTAATTTTTAATATGGAATGAGATAGCAATGCCTTCGTAGTTCTTCCATTCTTCGCACAAATGCTATATAGCTTTTATTAAATTGATTGATTTATGGATCAAGAGAAATTTCATTAAGCTTAGTTAGATTCGGTAGATCAATTTAGGTGAGATGCCACTATCTCAAGGTTGGTGTAAGATGCTGGGATTGGAAAATGTATGTTTACTTTTGAGTTGGGAATTAGGTAGTGCTTTATCGTTACAATTATACAACTACCAAAAATGCTTTGTAAGAGTTTGTAGGCTACTCAGCTATTTATTAATTTTTGTCATTGGATGCCTCTTCATATTTCTATCTTGCACATGCCAAACTTAATAAACTTGTTCATGCCGGCAAATCAATACCATGGAAGTCCTGATAGAAGTACACAATATATGCTATTTACTGTACTTCAAGCCTGATCATCTCATTTGGCTTTTTATACGTTCTTAGCTCTTACCAAATACCACCCCTTTCTTATGTTCAGGACATGATCACCGCCGGAATGGACACGACAGTCATATCAGTCGAGTGGGCCATGGCAGAGCTGGTCAGGAACCCCAGGGTGCAGAAGAAGCTGCAGGAGGAGCTGGACAGCGTGGTCGGCCGCGACCGTGTCATGTCCGAGACCGACTTCCAGAACCTGCCCTACCTGATGGCCGTCGTGAAGGAGTCCCTCCGCCTGCACCCGCCGACGCCGCTCATGCTGCCCCACAAGGCCAGCGCGAGCGTCAAGGTCGGCGGCTACAGCATCCCCAAGGGCGCCAACGTGATGGTGAACGTGTGGGCGGTGGCCCGGGACCCCAAGGTGTGGAGCAGCCCGTTGGAGTTCCGGCCGGAGCGGTTCCTGGAGGAGAGCATCGACATCAAGGGCAGCGACTTCAGGGTGCTGCCCTTCGGCGCGGGCCGGAGGGTGTGCCCCGGCGCGCAGCTCGGGATCAACCTCGTCGCCTCCATGATCGGGCACATGCTGCACCACTTCGAGTGGTCTCTGCCGGAGGGCGCCAGGCCGGAGGACATCAGCATGATGGAGTCCCCCGGGCTCGTCACCTTCATGGGCACGCCGCTGCAGGCCGTCGCCACGCCACGCCTGGAGAATGAGGAGCTGTACAAGAGGGTCCCGGTCGAGATCTGAGCGGCAGCCTGTGCTGCTCTGCTTGGGCTGTTGCCCCGCTCGCTGCTTTCGGCTAGGTGCTGGATGGAGCTCGTGTTGTTGTAAATTGTGATGAGGTGTTTGACTGCCTTTTGAATGAATCTCATAAAGCGACGACGGCAGATCGCAGATCGTTTCTCCCTTTATTAGGTGTTCCTTCGGATATAATACTTTTGTTTTTCTGTTAATAACAGTTTAACACAGCAAATCATTCTAGACAATGTATTTCTCCACATAATATATCTCTTCTGGACTGAAATTCTGCCCCGATTGCACATTTTAGGCCCTGCTAAGAAGCTTTGGAGACCTGAGGTTTGTTTTGTTGTTCATGGGAAGCTATTCCATTTCAATTTCGTTTTCTTCTCTCACCGCAATGTTTATCGTTATCCTCTAAGGGTGTGTTTGTTTTGGAACCAAGTGTAGTGAAATGTCCTTATCCTCTGTGTTGCGTTTGGATGTCTGTATTGTATTGAGGTCCCGAATTGGATTTGGTGTTTTCCTGAACTCCCAATTCAAACGAATACAGGAATGAAATCGGTAGCACGCGCCAAGCCCTCCCACGGCGGCGGCCAAGCACATCTCCTGGAACCTCCAAATTTATTTATTTTGGCACACATGCAACGTAGCAGGCACAAACAAAGGACGGCTACACAGGCACCAGCCAACTCAACACGCATGTACAATGCACAAAATACAGAAACTTGCACTGTCTTGGCTATCTAATACCAAGGCAAGTGAGGGACTGCAGTGATGACGCTCTTGACCTGCACTAGTGGTTGGGGCGCCACCCTATGGTGCCGCTTGAAACAAAACTGTGCGCATAATTTCATTTTAAAAAATACATAGAATTCTCGTCTCCGTCTAAAAAACATCTCAGAAAAAAAATCCTCACATTCGTCTAAAAAAGGAAGTAAAAAGAAAAAAAATTACCACCGCAACGTACCAGCGAGTGCCACTTTACATAACCCTTCATTTAAAAAATACCAGAGGTCCTCACCTTCATCTAAAAATACATTTAAAAATTAATCCACGCCTTCATCTAAATTCTTTTCCAAAAAAATTCTCACCGCGGCCAACCAACTTGCGCCACATGACATAGTTGGTTGGCCTCCCTTCATGCATAGCTTGGGTTTAGTGTACTTGTGGATGGCCATCATCCCCAGCCGAAGCCGCTCATCTTGTACCCGCTGAAGGGCGCCCCGGGGTCGAAGGCGAAGTAGCAGTGGTCCTGTGCGAACTGATCTTTTCTTCGAGAGTACGCAAATTGCGTACCATAGCTTTATAGAAAGAGAGAAAATTAATACATGACATTTATCACTCACTGCGAACAACAAGCATAGCACGACACCACATCCGAATATCCTCAAGACAACCACACACAACAACACAACTACAACACGGAAAAACCTGTCCAAAACCGAAACACCTCGCCGCGTCTTGATCGACGCCGAACACCTCCGAAGAACAGCAACTCCAGCTTCCTTTGGATTCATCCGCGACGACCATACATAGCGCCAGATGTGCGCGATCAGGGCCACGATGAACACCGAAGGAGCGCCAACAGGAACTCAGTCTCCTCGCACGATGCTCCCAACAGAGAAACGACGTCGCAGACGCCGCCATCATGCCGCTTCAGAGGACCAAGGCTTTCGCCCGGAGACAACTGCCAACACCAAGCACGAGGGAGATGGCGACACACTCGACGTCGCCTCCAGAGAGGGGAACGACACCCGCGGGTGCCATCAACGACGGCCGGCCAAAACCGGACAGGATTTTCATCCGTAATGTTGCGCATCTCCACTCCGACGAGGTACCGGGCAGCACCGTTCCTGAAGCCTCGCACCGCCGTCACCGCAGCAAATCCGCCGAAGCCGCGTAGCCGTGGTCCAACACCACCCGCACTGCCGAGAGAGCGCGAACCAGACCTCCACCAACATCGCCGTCGAGAAGCAACCACATCCTCCAAATGGAGCAAAAGCCAAATCCGCTCCATCGGCCTTCATCGACACCGAGAGACTGCCGCCAGATTGGATCTGGCCCCCCCTCCAACCTCACTCCGGCGTCATCTCCACCGGGGCATCGCCGCGATCCCCTCACACAGAGGCGGCCGGAAGCGCGCTGCACGCCAGGACACCTTCCTGGCAGTGCCATCTAGGCGCCGCCGCCCCATGGCTGATCCAACGCCGCCGGCACCGCCGTTGCTGCCGCTCCACCTGCAGACACCTACCAGTAGCGCTCCTCGCCAGGATCCGGCGAACGCCCTCGTCGTGCCCCCGCAGTGCCTCCAACCGCACCGCGAGCCCCCGCACCGCCCGCGAGAAGAACGCCGCGCCAGACCACGCCGCCCGCGCCTAGGCAGCGCGCCGCCCGCTAGACGCAGCTCCCCCGCGCGAAGGAGGTGCGTCGGGGCGCGCCACCCCTGCCCGCCGCCACCACCGCCGGCGCCG